TATATATATATCTACATATATATATCTTCGGCTTTCTTTAGCCCTAACGTCGAATATCCTCTTCAGGTATACGCATACCCATTGTACTGAGACAGTTGCTGCTGGCATTGGGAGTTTCTAGTGTCACATGGTATGGCTCTAACAACTGGTCAGAGGTACGGCATCGCCTGCAGACTGAGGAGCAGTATCAATTGCCCGAGATGAACAAACTAGTGGATTGGATCAAGGAGGTGTGGGTATCACTCTAATTCTCGTGTGTTATGACGGATGCACGACTCATGCGTAATACCAACAGAATCACCCACCACAGCCACGCACATACATCCTTATGGCATTAGTCTTCTACAAAAGAAAGTTATGGTAAAATCTATATTTGTGTTCTATAAACCTTCGAGTAAATCCGTATAATTACGTACACCCGGATGAAGTGACAAATCTCGCACTGCCCTTTGCATGCACAGAACACACCCGAAGACGCCGTCATTACCGGCGACATGTCGACGATGGGATCCGTACGGCTCATGGCTAACCGCACCACAGCCAATCACCCACACTACGAGGATCAGGCTATTCGCCACAAGACATATAAGATTGCGCACTGGTTTGGGTGGAGACCTGTGCAAGAGGTGCACGCTATTCTGTCGGGCTATGGGATCACGCATGTGGTGAATCACCTGCCACCGTGTAACTACGCGCTAACGAAGAAGGGCACGGGATATGCGGACTTTGTGGAGGTAAGTGTTCTTGTGTTTGTGTAGGAGTGTGTATCGGTAGGGTTTTTAGTTGCATATGCGCCTATATATGGACATGTAAAAGTGTAATCGGAGCAGCTATGTACCTGAATTCGCTGAAGCTAGAATAGTATATCATATATATATATATATATATATATTATATTATAAATACATGTATATAAATACTATATATATATATATATATGTATATATATATAGTCTTATATATATATATATAGTTCATATAGATATATATATATATATATATGTATGTATATACATATAATATATATTTATAT